TAAAATAATAGATAATAATATAAACATACATTAATACCTTACTTTAACTATTATGAGTTACACTACATTATAAATATTCTATATATGTAAGTACAATCATAAATATTTTTTATTTATATTTTACTATTAATTACTTTAATTACTTTTCAATATTTTCTAAAATTTGAAATTTTTTATATCTTATTAACATTGGAAAAGATTTTTATTTTATTTTACATGTGTTAGGAAACGATGATAATTTCTAATCTTAAAAAAAATAAAACATTGAAATTAGAATTATTAATAAATTAAATAAAAGAAAATTTGTTTATACACGAAAAATGTACCAAGCTACATAGTCAAAACAAAAACAAAAAAACATAGGACCATATAGTCAAAATTAAACTAATCAAAAGAGCAAGAGTAATCCAATGGAGATGAAGACATATTTTAAATAATAGATATTTCCACAGTGACTAGATACAACATTTTAAGAAAATATTTGCAATTAAGATAAAAATATATACCATGTTTGGAGTTGAAAAAATCGTAAATTTTAATTTTTTTTTTGGAGAATTTCTTATCTTGTGCATTTTTTGTGACATTTTATTTTTCATGTTGGGAAATAATTTTATTTAATTATTAAATACGCACGAGTCAATATAGTAATGTTAAATAATGTCATTTTGCAATATAAATTAAGATGGAATACTACTTATTTCGTGCAAATTTGTTGTAGTACATATTGATTATTATGATTTATTTTAATCAAATGGACCAGTTACGATGGGTTAGGGAAATGTATAAGGTACATTTATGTGAATTATGTATAGTTATGTGGATCACTAGAGGAAAAACTTATTTGATTCGAAGTGGATGATGTATTGTATTTGCACGTTATTCGTTTTGGTAACAATAATTTTATTTCACATGCAACAATATTTAAGATAATGTTACTAAGTTTTTTATATTGAATTAGTCGATATATATGTCAATTTGATGGACGTTGGTTGTTGGTATCTCATATTTAATTATATATTAATGATTGGTATGTTTTGTTATGTTAGTTTTTATATATTTAATTATTATGTTATGTTGCAGAGTATGGCGTTGTCTTGCATGATAAAAGCGTTGGAAAAGATTTTCGAAAAATAGGTATTTACAACATTAAATTATTATCAAATTAAGTGTGGTAAATATTAGCAATGCAATATTAATTAGTTGTAATTGCTATTGATATATAGAATTGGACATATGAAATCATACCTTTTTTTTGTGTCACGACGTACAACTAAAATGCGGTTTATATCTTCTCATTTCAGTATATTATTTGTTAAGTATATTTAGTTTTTTTTCTTTAATTCGATGATGATTACGTTGTCAGTGAAAAGAAAATTACCAAGTACAAAGGGAGATGTCAATGTACCCTGCAGGGGAGTATATCCATTGCATTTCAGAAGAAGAAGAAATCTAGGAACTAGCTAGGGTTATGACATTTATCGGCAATGCAATAGATTTTGAAGGTTAGTTTGACTACGATGACCGTACTTTATGATTACGACTAAATTAACTTCGTGATATTACGACTAAATTAGTTATTGTATTATAATCGTCATTGATTTTAGATACTAAATTAATTATGTATGTGAATTATGAGGGGCAATGATATGGTATGCCGAAAAGATTAATAAGCACAAGAATGCATCAAATCCTTAATGTTCACACTATTGTGGAAACTGTAAAGTGAAATTCCCTAACTTGAAACTTGGTCTAAGAAAATATCCAGTAATACAACATAATATTTTCATTTACATCTCAAGACGGAAGGATATATAAAACGATAAATAATAGTGTTGGTCCATACACATTTCTACTTTATGAGTAAAACTATCATTTAATGCGTAGTTTATTGTCATAAGAAGATTCAAGGCCCAAGTTTACTCGGTTGTACATTTCTTCCGTACTAATACGGCTTAATCCCACTTTGCACCGTGGAAATATAGTATTAGTATTAGTATTAGTATCAGGTGGTGTTTGCAAATGCTTTTCCAAAGTGATTATGAGTTATTTTGTTGTTCAAAATCAGATTTTTTTAAACATTAAAAAGCTCATAATCTCTTTGGAAAAGCGTTTGCAAACACCACCTTAGTATTAGTATTAGTAGTATTAATATTAATCTTAGTATTAGTATTAGCATATTAACATTAGTATTATTAACATTAATAGTGTCCGTATTATGATTAACATTAGCATATTAGTACAATATTAGCCTTAGCATTAGATTTAGCATTAGCATATGCATATTAGTATTTGCATTAGCATTAATATTAACATCATCTTTTCATTTATATAGGTGATTTTACATCATCGACATGTTTTAGTTCGTTGATTTTTTACATTAATTCATTTTGATCATAGAATTTATCTCCGTGCATCGCACGGGTGAAATACTAGTACTTTAAAATTTATTATAAAAGTAACAAAAAAGTAAAAGAATAAAGGGTTTATTAGGGATAACCCCCTTGTTCATATTTTCTAATGAGGTAGATCCAATTAATTTTTCCCTTTTTGATATACACCCAAATATGCCAACTTGGCACAATATATTATTTAATTTCCCTTTAATACCCCTGCTTTATTTTTGAACGGCATTTATTTCCTTAACTACGTGATATGAGATTGCTGATACGTTGTCTAAAATCACGGAATAAAATTACGTGAGTATATTGGCGGTTTCGTTATTATCACAACGTGTACAATCGGTTTTGAAGATTTTCTCCATCGATTCATCGTTTCCATCGGCTTTGAAGAAGTTTTCACCGGCGTGGAGGTAGGTTCGGATCTGAGCGTTTATCGTTGTCCGTCGTTAAGCGGGTATGAACTTTTTTTTTCGTTTTTATTTTCGCTGTATTTGTGCGGGGGTTGTTGTGTTATGGTGGGTAAACATTTTAAGATTTGTGTTGATACGTTGATTATATTGGTAGTAAAGTAGATCGTTTCTTAAAAAAATTACGTCGTCACATATACATCCTTATTTTGTCTGATAATGTTTGTTTGGAAGAGGATTCACATAGTTGCCAGAGGATGGTTCACGCAGTCGGACCAGAGTTGTTTTATATGAGTGTCGTAGTTGGTTTACGCAGTAATCGAAATAAATATTTGGTGTGGTCGAGTTGATGAAGTTGAAACTGACTGATAGTTGTTTTGTTTGTTTACAGCAGTCGATTTTAATGTATTCGGTAGTACATTGGAATGTATTTGGTAGTCTATTTAATCAATTATTTGTATTCTGCATTTTTTAAGTTCATATGATGTTGAAGTTGTTATTTCTGATGATGATGGAACAGGGGGTGGGGGTGAACTAGTTGGAGCCGTTGATGCCACTGGAAGTGAGCCATTGAATGCAGGCTTTGTGCAGTTGTTCGAAGAAGAAGTCGACTGCATTCCTGATGATAGCGACGAGGACATAAACTCAATGAATTCAAATGATTCTGATGGTTGTTATTTTCCAAACCACCCTAAGATTTGATATGTTTAATTAATGTCGTGTTTACGATGTAATGGCTCGGTAACTTCGGTTAAGTGTTAAACTGTATACTATTATGAATACCGTATGATACCATTATCATTTTATTATACTATTATGAGATTATTAATGTACTAGAGTTTTTTAATACAGTAATATACTATTATGAATAGTTGTAATTAAGCAAACATGAGGAGTTTTTATAATTTAACCTTGTCTCATGGCAGGGGCTTGTGTGTAATTTGTCCTTATAATTATGACATGGAAAAAGATTAATATAAACTCGTGAGCCCACAAGCATCAAATAAGAGGCCCACTAATCTACTTCAGTTCAACTACCTTTCTTCTTCCCAAATTAAATACAACCAAACGACGTCGCTTTCATCCTTTTCCTCTCTCTCTAACTTCCAACCCAATTTACAACTACAGCGCACTTACCCGGATTGCTTATGCTACGCTACACACACTCTTCATCGGACCCCACATTTTCCATATCTACACTGTTTAGCTTCAAATCCATGTTAATTTGAGCTGAATCTCACTAATTATTGCGCAGTAATTGTGATTTTTCTGGGGGGAATTTGATTGTGCTTGAGTATTTTGCTTGTGAATCTCTTAGGGATTTGATGATTGAACTTCGGAGGAAGCTTTTGGAGTTTTGAGTGGAGTTTCATCGGTGTCTGTGTGTGTGTGTTTAATGGAGGTGGAGAAAGCTCGGACGGCGAATCGAAGTACGAGGTTTGACGAGGTTTCGATGGAGAGAAGTAAGAACTTCGTTACTGCATTACAGGTATACTTCGTTTGCTTTTATTTTTTTGAGTTTTTTTTTTTTGTTTTGTTTATTGGTTGACATTTTAGGATCAGATCTAGGAATGGTTGTGCTGTGACTTGTGCATGCGATTTAGCTTGTGTTGATTCCTGGTTGACTTATAGTTTGACTGAATGCTTGTTGGATCTCTTTTTAGTGGATCAAAATTGAATTAGATTCTGCAATTGGCACCAACCTTAGTGATTTTAAGTTTGTTCGATCTTCGGTGATTTGATTATTTGGGGTAATTTAGGTACAAAAATTGCATGCCCGTGATGTGTATCCTATGAATTCTTCTTCTATTTCTCCGCGCGCGTGTGTGTGTGTGTGTGTGTGTATGTGTGTGTGTGTGTGTGATGGAACTTGTGGGTTATGCTTGATCGAATTCGCCAGTTTAGATGATTCAGTTCAATTTTTCTTTAGTTGTCAATTTTTTTTCTGTCCAGGTTCATCATAACTTAGTTTCGTCGTCCAGTGTCGCGTTATATATAAGATGCAAATAGTCGATTATGTGTATGCTGGCTACAGTAACAATTGTCAGTATCCGTTTTTTTATGGATCCGACTTTTCAATATACTTATTCTTATACATTGAGTTGGAACCGTTAGACGAAGACAGAGTTCTAGTGATTTTATTAATGGTGATAGAGAATTCTCTGAGAAATTCAAACCGATGTATTTCTTCTCATACTTTGGTTGTTCTCAGTGAAAACATTCTTCCAATATGGCTATCGACTTATCTATTGAAAAACAGATGAATATCACTAACTAATATCGATCAACATATTGCATGATGATTTGGTCAAATTATCGTGTTGACTTCGGATGCTATTTGTGATATACTCTATGGCAAAATCAGTAATTGTTTTCATCTTGTTATATCTCCGTAGGAACTCAAAAACCTCAGGCCACAATTGTATTCTGCAGCAGAGTATTGTGAGAAGTCTTATCTTCACAGTGAGCAAAAACAAATGTGAGACTTCTGCCAACTTATCTAAATATTTTTTGCGTAAATTCGTTTATGACAAATCTTCCTATGATTTAGTTTGTCGTGTTACAATATTATGTGAGAATATATTTAATTAGGTGCATTTTTTTTTATCTATCATTAGATGGTCTATAATGCAGAAACGTGCTAATATTTACGATATTTAACCTGAGTCGCTGTCGTACATTGGATAATTAATAATGAGGATTTCTTGAACTACAATCTTTACCTACAAAAAAGTTACAATTGAATTTATGTTTCTTTGATTCTGAGAATTTACATATATACTGTTTTATTTTGTTTAAGGGTATTGGACAATCTTAAGGATTATGCTGTACGGGCTCTAGTCAATGCAATCGACCACCTTGGTACTGTTGCATACAAGTTGAGTGATATTCTGGAGCAACAGACACTCGACATCTCGTCGGTGGAGCTGAAAGTTACATGTCTAAATCAGGTAGCTCTCAACTCTCATTTAGTTATAACGTACTTTTATAATTATTACACATAATCGAGGCTGACATTTTTTTTTGGTGTGCAAGCAACTTCTGACGTGTCAAACATATACGGAAAAAGAAGGTCTAAGGCAGCAGCAATTATTAGCCATCATCCCAAAGCATCACAAACATTATATTTTGCCAAGTAAGACTCTGTTTTGCCTGGTATGTATATTAAATAAAATTTAGTGTCTCATTTAATTTTAATTTGGTTGACCTCATGCTAGATTCTGTAAATAAGAAGGTGCACTTTAGCCCACTTATACAGACTGATCCTAGGCAAACTATACAAGCAAGATCTCGTCTTTTTCCTTCAGGTGAGAAATTTTCTCTGCGTTGGACGGTGGTTAATTTTATTAAGCTCTTATAATTTGTTTATTTGATGCCTTTTTTATATAGGTGCTTCAGCTGCAAAAACTCTTTCTTGGCATTTGGCCTCCGAAACCAAGTCGACCTTGAAAGGCTCTCCACGTGGTATTATAAGGTTCGTCGTCCTCAAAGTATTTTACATCTTTATCTCTGCATCTATTGAATCAAGCACGAAAGAAATTTGATATTTGCCTACCATTTTCAGTACAGAGGATTCAAAAACGATGTATGGGAAGTCTTCTGGTGCATTCAACTTGTTAGGTATGCAAATAAGATCAGGGATATATATATATATATATATATCCACCTTATCGAAGTAACCCATTTTTTGAAATCTTGATATTTTGTCAATAGATGTTGAAGAGAATGCCCGGATGAAATCCGCACCAGCTTCGAGTGTAGCTATGCAAACATTGGGTGTTGCACGAAGGGTAATGCCTACGTTCCTCAAAAGTCATGCATTTGCTTTACTTTATCATTCTGTCTCTTTTCATCGAGTAAAGGATAAAATGGTCTTTTCACCATTCTTTTATTAGCATTTTGACACTCGATACGTTGTTTTCTTGGCTTTTTTGTTTGAGAAAATGTAATGATTCCAAGTAAAATTCGTCGACTGCAGGAATCTTCGGAGGGCTCTAAACCTATGACTCCGTATAGGTCATTCGACAATCCTGGGCAGAGAGAAATTATCCGGCCGCCTGTTCGTAGTAAGAGCATGCTTTCAGCTTTCTTTGTCAAACAAAAGACGCAAAAATTGAAGACAAACGCGTGAAATCCTAGGGCAAACTATTTTCGTCTTTTTTTTGCATCGTCAAGTATGTTTCGTCAAGTTGGAAGAAATTGTTCAACTGTTTGTCCCTTTCGATTATAGAACTCTTCCTTTTATCGAACATTCATTGGCAGTTAGTTGTATGTATCATATCTGTGTAACAATAAATTAGCAGTAAGTGTATAACAGTTAGCTAGAAAAGATGTTTGAGGATTTTGGTTTGCAAAATATTGGTGATTGGTCATTTTCATTTTTACTTACATTAATTTTGTTTTTTTTTGTTTCCCAATTTGAGGACAACATGTTCAAAAATACATCGTTAAATTAATATTTTGCTAAATTAACAGAATTTGGTTGATTCTAACTATATTACTTTATAGAGATTTAATTCTATAATTACTTTAGGAAATCATTTATTAATATAAGTTTGTTTGTATAACTTTAAAATATATATATATTTGAGTATGATTTGATTAGCACTACTAATCGAGCATGAGTAACTTAATTTTAAAAATATGTTTATTAGTAATTTTTGTTAATTGAATATCGAGTGATTTTTTTTGTTTTAATTCCATATACACAGAGAATTTAATTGGTGGGACTATATATTTCTATAATTCAATTTTTTTTTTTTTTTATAATTGTAACATCTAAAGTATTTATTTATTAATGATGCTTTATTACTTGATGTTATACCCCGATTAAATCTCACCGTCCACGTGTCACTGAATAGTAATACGGTCGGAATTGGGCCTAAAAACAGCCGACTATATACCTGCACTCTCATATTAGGTCATAAGATAACTGAGCCCCAATAATTCTCAATTGAATAATTAGGTCTTGATTTCAATTGAAAATCTGAATTTTTTTCTAGGAATTTGGGGGGTCTGCGAATTGATTTCAGGATGGGAAAAGCGAAGAGAACCGCCAAATTTGCCGTCATGAAGAAACTCGTCTCCCATAAAGCCATTAAACAGTAAGCTCTGTTTGTTTTTTTCCCTCGTTCGATTCGTATCCATTCCTTGTATATACATGGGCTCGTGATTGGGGCAGATTTTAATTTCGTTGAATTCCGTTGCAGATACAAAGAGGAAGTCTTAAACCCTAATAAGAAAGATTTAACCAAGGAAAACCTCCCCAGAAATGTGTAAGTACTCCTGTTTTTTTTTTTCCTTTGTATGCATTTGGGCTTTTGTAATGGGTTGTTCGTATGTTGCATTTCGATTTGTTACTGTTGAATATTGTCCGGGCTGCTCTTTTTTTTTTTAATCTTTTGAATGATGAAGGAATTTAATCACATTGTGTGTGTGTATGTGTGTGTGTTGAAGTTGATATGAGCTATTTGTTTGGAAATGCAGACCACAAGTTTCATCTGCGCTTTTCTTCAAGCACAACACTGCTTTGGGGCCGCCATATCGAGTTTTGGTGGATACTAACTTTATTAATTTCTCCATCCAAAATAAAGTGAGTGCTCGAAATTTCTTTCGGTCGATTTTTGTTTTATGCTAAATTATTAGTCAATTAACATGTTTTATGTAACTTTTGAAACAATTAAGTTTGCATCTACTACGTGCCTAACAATTTCCTGTGTTTTTTTTTTTGTCTTTTTAAACGTTCGAATCATGTGCAGTTGGATTTGGAGAAAGGGATGATGGACTGCTTATATGCAAAATGTAAGTTACGTTTTTTTCAAGAAAATTTCACCAGCTCATCATCTTTTAGAATTTTCGGTTATCAGAAAACCGGTTACTGCTGGGATAATCTTCACCATCTTCATAGAATTGTTCTTCCGAATTCAATTTTCTCATGTAGAAAAGTTACCCACCCTAATCACACACTAAGAATCTTAGGGTTGAAGATATAATCAAACTTATAATCTGATAATTCTGTTAATCTTCGTTTCGAATCTTTCCATACTTCTTTAATTATCATACTGCAATATTCCTTTTTTTTGCGTTATCAAGACTGTTTAAGTGTATTTTGACTTATAATTTGTTCGATTCTAGGCACCCCATGTATCACAGACTGTGTTATGGCTGAGCTTGAGAAGTTGGGTCAAAGATACCGAGTTGCTCTCAGGCATGTTCTTAGAACCTTTTGCTACGATAAATAGATAATATATATTCTACCTTGTATTTATTGATCAATTTGAATGGATAAAAGAAATTAACCCTGTAGCATTTTCTTGAAAGTTTCCAATACTCTTTCTTGTTGGTGAAACATGAATTCTTTTATGCTGGAAAATATTTTGTTTGAATTTAATTTTTTATTTCCGTCACAGTTACTAATCTGTTTCTGTTTCCTTTTATTACGTTTTTATCTAAACAGAATTGCCAAGGATCCTCGGTTCGAAAGACTTCCGTGTACTCACAAGGGTACATATGCTGATGACTGTCTTGTCGATAGGGTTACACAGGTAAGACTAAGTCAAATGATCGAGTCAAACTTTCCAAGTCAAATGATCGAGTCAAACTTTCTAGAAAGTGAATCAGAGAGTTATTTGCCCATTATGAATAAAATGTGTAATAAACTAATCTTATCTACTTCCATCGTGACTACATAAAACAGCACAAGTGCTACATTGTTGCAACTTGTGATCGAGATTTGAAGAGGAGGATTAGAAAGGTATGATAAATTTCCTATTTGAAAATTACGTGTTGCCATTTCATTTCGTAAAGTCGAAATCTGACAATATTTATGGGGGTTTGATATTCAGATACCCGGTGTACCAATTATGTATATCGCCCAGCATAGGTACTCCATCGAACGACTTCCTGAAGCTACGATTGGTGGAGGTAGGATTAAACATCTTATATCATAACTCTTTCCTCTATTTATTTATTTCCCTTTTTTCCAATTTAATTCCTTATTTGCATATGGTGCAGCTCCAAGAATTTAATTACAAGAAGTTAGAAGTTGGAAATTCAAGGTTATTTTCTTAAGCGAAAATCCGGCCCTTATTTCTAGTACAAGGAAACGACGAGGTGGCACTTGACGGGCGTACTATTCTTGTAGCAAATTTTGTATGAAATCTTAGCGAAAAATGTTAATTAACTTATTCTCGCCTTTCAAATGAGTTGAATTTTCGATTAATGTCTTTACTAAAATTACTTTTTCCATTTGATACAATGCGATTAATTTTCGTTCACGCCTCGTTTGGGAATAAGGATACGGCTCGATAGAAAATTACTGTATAATTAATGTCTTTATAATAAAAATTCACTGCCAAAACAGCCAACCAACCTACAGACAGCTTTGCATGTAATAATAAATTCATTACCAGATCTCAAATACCAGAGTTTCACATGATAGAACTGTTGTCTACCAGCTACCATTTACATGTAATTAAAAATAATAATAATTAAAAAAAAAAAAAGGAAAATAAAAAATGGTATACACTCTACAGAACCCTGGAAAAATCGAAAAAAAAAAAAGAAAGAACGAATGCAAACTAAATACATCTCAAATACAAATCACAATCCTAAGCATCCGTTCTCAAATAAAAAATTAAAAAATTCCCCGAAAGAAAAAATCAAGGTGATTAATTAGTATCGAAAAATTAGTGCTACCTCAGAAGCTTGGCTGCAAGAGAAGTCGAGTTGGAATCCTCTACAAGAGGCTTCACGTACCTACCCAAGGCCTTTTGGTGGGTCCGTTTCCTCATTCGTTGCATTTTATCTTTACTTTGTTGCCTCTTCTTTTCTTTTTCTCTATTTCTCATATTTCTCTCTTTTTCGAAAATGCCGTGCCAATATATCTCGCCCGTTAATGGCCATAGCCTCCGATTTTTGGAGTGGTCGGAGTCGAATTCTTCAGCCAAGTCTTCGTCCATGTTTTTAAGAGTGGCGAATTGGAACCACTTAATCCACATTTGACCTCTTCTGCTTCTTAGGTTATGCTGTTCTTGCATGACACCTGTCGTGGGGTCCACGTAGACCACCCTTCTTCCACTGTGGTACGCCCAAACGTTTACTAGTAACTCGAGTAAACGAGAGTAGCAATGCTTGTCCTGCCCATCATGTATTTATATATTTTCAAAATAAAAAAAAAAATTAAGAGAGAGAGAGAGAGAGATAAGGGTACCTTGGATAAACTGAGGTGACAATGCCCGATCTTTTGGTGATCGTCATAAAATTGTGTATCGAGTGCGTCAACGAACATTCTGTGAACGAAAAAAAGATTTGCTCGTTTATATTTGCCAAAAAAAAAAAAGGGGCCATAGTGGGCATAAAAGTGGCAACTCGTAAAAGAAAAGGTGTTAGAAGATTAAAAACCTTGAAAACATAACAAACTCGACAAACGACTTAGTGGGTAAAACCCAAGAATTCGTAACGGACCAAGTCCCTTCATCCGAAGGCATCGCCGGAAGAGAACTCAAGTTATGCTTTACACCATACATCTCTTTCAGCGTCTCCGAAAAAACTAACCTACAAATCCACACAAAAATAAATATTAGTAATAATTCGGAATTTCAGTGATAGTATGTGAAAATTATAACAGATGAAGCTACTCGCCTTTCCAAAATTTGAGCAATAGCAAATTGAATTCATAAATGGGACGATTACAGTTTCCGTCCCACAAGTTTGCACCGATTCCACATTTGGTCCCTCATGTTTCAATAATTTAACACTTTTGGTCATTTCCGTTAATTTACCGTTAGTCCGACAGTTAAGGCAGTGATGTACACACGCTTGATTCCGTTAGTACTAACGGCAAATTGACAGAAATGACAAAGTATTAAATTTTTGAAACATGAGGGACCATATATGTTTTTTTGTAAACATGGGGGACTAAATGTGAAATCGGTGCAAACTTAAGGGACGAAAACTATATTTTTCCCATTTATAAATCAATAATATTATTAGACAATTTTTTTTATATAAAAAATAAAAATTCGACTGAAAAGGGAAAAGCTTACTGGCAATTCCCAGCATTAATAGCATCACAAAATGACCAAAAATCCTTTTTCAACGGGTTTCTCGGGTCCATATCAAGGCGGGCCCAGAAGTATAAAGTGTCTCCATGCTTTCTTGCTTCGATAGCATCTAACAATGATCTCTCAGCAATCTTCGACAAAGATTTCTGTTAACAAAAAATAAAATAGGATTTAACATTCATGCAAAATAAGACTGGATGAGAGATATTAAATATTATGGTTGAGAGAAAAGAAATTGTATATATATACCATTCTGGCTGTAGCTCTCCAAGATTGAAATCCTATCCAAGCGTTTTTATGTATTCGATCGATTCGATTAGCAATTGCAAAGAAGGCACCGTATTCTCCTAATACGTCTCTGTAGTAACCATTATTTAATAACGGGAGGCGAGAAGGTGCGTCCACGTCATCAGCTCCCGGTCTTCGACCTTTCGTCGACTACAAAATCCAGTTCATATACATTGCATCAAATTTAGAGAGAGTAAAAGAGAGAGAGATAATGAGAGAGAGAGAGTACTCACTAGCCCAAGCCCTCTGTATAGTGAAACATTGTGCAAAAACGGCCAAGTTCCCACTCCGAAATAAGGCTCGTAAATACATAGTGGTTGTCCTGTTCTCTCAAGTTCTCCTTCGTCTCTTTCGTGTAATGACCGATCTAACCTTCTCACACTTCGATACACTTCATCCCACGTTCCTCGTGGTTGATCGGTTCTCTCCTTCAACTGCCATCAGTCCCATATTATTTCATACTTCATCTCTTATAAAAAATATAAAAAATAAAAAAATGAAAAAAACGAAAGAAAAAAAACGTACTTCTTCATCCTCTTTTCGTTTTCTCAAATTAGCCATATCTAAATACTTTTGCTCTTCCCAAATAATATACAAAAACGTATCATTTGATCCGATCGAAGCCACAGAGTTCTCTCCATTAGTGCGATTGAACTGCTTCTCAATCTTGTCTACAAAAATCATCTCCATTTTGCTCGGAGAATTGGTATCTTTTATAGCATCGAAAAGATGCCATCTCCATTCAGATTTAAGTTTCGTGGGAATGCTTTTGGCAGCCATGGGAACAGCAACTTCAGACGGGAGAGAGAGAATATTCTCCAATAGGAAAGCATATCCTTCGACACTTTCCGATACCATCAAGTTTTTAGCTCTACTTTTTCCGATCGAAGCAGCATTTCTTGCAATAAGTGAGAGTTTTCCGTTTGAGACCATTCGAAACATGATCTGAGTTAAAACCATCGTATCCTCCTTCGGAAAAAGATAGCCGTTGATCTTGTCACTAATCTAAGATTTTTGCAAATCTCGTTAGTTTGTACTCATTATAAGACAATTTCATTAATACACACACACACACACACACACACACACACACACACACACACATATATATATATATATATATATATATATGCTGAAGATACGTACATATTTTCGTATTCCTGGTAAATCTGGGGCGACGATTGGTTTTACGAGAGACATGGCTTTTAGCAAAATGTCTGGAAAAGAATGCTCGTCGAGGAAGGAACCGTATATTACAAGATCGGCAGTATTAATTACAGTGTTTGTGTTTCTGTCGGCAGAGACACGCTTCACCGTTTCGTTTGGATATCCCAATTTTAGAGCAATTGTCTGTCGGCGCAAAATCCCATACATCAGCATACAAGAAAAAAAATTTACCAAAAAAAAAAAAAAATTCAAAAATATTATATAAATTGCTCTCACCTCCAAAGTGGTACTATAGTTGCTGGTGGAATCGCCGCCTAATACAATGATGATTCTAAGACGGGAACTAGAATCTTCGAAGTGTGTAAGAATCGGATATAAAGCCTGTAATACAAAGGCGTGTTCGAGCCAAACACCTTTGTACGACAGTTGACTTCCCACAACTGCAATAACAAAATCGTCTTGTCTGAAATCCAGCTCGGAACGTAAATTATTATTATTCGGCAAAGCCAATTGTTTATCGGCTTTCCAAGCTTCTTCTGGAGATCCCGGTATGACAAAGTAGTTTCCAGGATCACATATCGAATATTCAATCTGAATTGTATATAAATTTGTTCGTTAGATGATAACCAGAAAATAAATGTATTCCTAAAGGCCTCGTTTTGGTGAGATGATACGTCATGATTAATTAAAAAATTAATCAATGATGGCGAATTTTGATCAATCAAACGAGGCCTAAGAATAAATAATATTTTAAATCAAAAAAATAAGACAGCAATTTACCGGCAGAATATAGTTTGGGAAGACGACAACAGTGGCTCGAGAGAAGAATCTTTTCCAGGTATCTACAAGCTCACTCTGCCCACTCGAAACGTAAGTTCTCAATCGAGAGGCGAGTGTATGTTCGTGGATCATCCATACGAGAGGAATATTCTTAAAAGGTTCCTGCATTAGACTGTAACAAGTAAAACCTTTTATTTTATCAGAAAATAGTATATCGTCAACAACCATTGTGTAAATCGAGGGTATTTGATGGTCTACAAAACGAAATGAATGTTTGCTTACCAAGACAAGAAACCCACGGATTTAAGTGAATTTACGAGTATGCCATCATAGCTGCGGGCAGAAACACAAAATTAGAATATATATTATGGAGTGTAGCTAAATCGGAATTTCGAGCGAAAACACCGATTCATTTGATCTGTGGCGATTAAAAAGAAAACTAGTAAATAAATTTATCCATTGGAAAAAACTAAGGGTGGTATTCATACTTTAGCCAATCGACACTGCAGTTGATGTTGTCATCTGATGTGGCGATAACACGAATTGGAACTCCTATCTCTCTCCAGGTAGCCTGTGCGGGCCCGTTTTCCGTTGAGAATACCTGCAAAATAACAACAATCCAGACCAAATTTCATCGATGATTTTCCGATTTCTAGCAGTAATTAAATACACTTACAATGCTCGTAACTCGTATTTCAGCATTTTGAAAGTGTCTATCTAATCAACTCAAAAAAAAAATTAATTACCTTGAGCCGGTCACACATCGATATCTCAGCAACATTTCAATTTTAAAAAAAAATCAGACCAAATTTCACCGATGATTTTCCAATTTCTATCAACAATTAAATACACCACAATGCTCGTAACTCATATTTCAGCATTTCGAACGTATCGATCTAATCAACTCAAAAACAATTAATTACCTTGAGCCAGCCGGTCACACATCGGTATCTCAGCAAAATTTCAATTTACAAAAAATATAAAAAATTAATTGCAAATAATTGATTGGTAAATCACCTCAATTTCGTATCCAATCTCGAGCAATGCAGTAGCTACAGTAACCATGAGTATTTGATGATGATCAACTACTAGATCTGCGAAAACCTACACCCACATTTCAAACACACACTTTTAACGCTACTACTAGAAACAAAAATCCAACTAAGAAATTCAGAACACACGTAAAACAAACACTAACCAAACTTCGAACAAAATAATCGAACCCAAAAACTCATAATTTAATTACTGAAATTCAAATAAACCAACACAAAAAAACTAACCAGGGCAATCTTTGGTTTCCTATACCCAAATCTCGCAACCATTTTCGACAAATCGCCATTCTTTCGAAACTTTTCCGAGATTCTCAAAGGCTCAAACTTTAAATCTTCACCAAAATCCAACTCTTTCAAGAACAACAGCTCATCAAAAACTGCTCCCCCATTTCCCCCAACTAAATCATTGATTTTATTATTACCAGATTTATTATTATTATTACCATCTTCCCCGGGCAAGAAGAAAACCTGGAAAAGGAAAACAAAGAAGAACAAAGTAGCAACACCACAAATCAACTGCAGATAGTCAACTCTCTTGAAAAAAACCAATCTTGTAAATCTTGATCTGCTCCTTTGCCCTGAAAATCCATTGTTGTTACTGTAATAATTGTTCCTCTTCGATGGAAACCCAGTTTCAAGTGAACCCATCTACACTCCCATCAATTAAAAGACAAATAAAAATGCAATCTTCTTTTTTTTTTGTAGCTTTTACATCACTGTATACTGTACACTCAAGAACGGTAGCTGTACCTGTACGTATATATCTTATACTTATATATACCCCCCCAAAAAAAATAAAAAAGACAGCTCTTTGGGGATGATGAAACGATTGGGATTTTTGTGTATATATATGTGTATGTATATATTAGTGGTATATATATATATATGGGTAAATCGGAAACTTGATGTGGGGCTTTTTGTTTTTCTCTTTTCTTTCTTCCGTTTGCATAAATCCTCTTCTGTATTATTAAAGAATTCAAGTAGATGCTTGTGAGTTTTTTTCTTTTTTCTTTTTTTTTTCTAGAGAGAGAGAGTGGGGGGAATAGATAGAGAGAGAGAGAGAGAGGAAGTAAGGGCATGCGGGTTGCTGACGTGGCACGGGTAGTCGTCACTTGTCAAACACAGTCACATGTGCTCTCCCATGGTGATGAAATGTGTGTGTGTGTATAGGATGAGAGAGAAAGAGAGAGAGAGAGACTTTGTTTTGACGTATAGAGAGAGAATCCCAGGTTTAAAGAGTGTTTGTCTGTATTAACTAGGTTAAAAGGTTTATTAATTATAATAATTTAGCTTATTTTTTAATAATCATTTCACTAATAATATGTACCTTTAAATATTTTGTATATTGTATATAATAAAGAAAAACCCTAATTAAATCTAGTACCATCTTTTTAATTTTATTTTTATTAATTATTACCCTATTTTTTATATAATGAAATACCAATAAAGATCCACTAGAATCTTAATAGATAATGCTAGATGATTTTTTTTGCTGAAATATGAATATATTTGCTTGACAAATCAATATGTCTACATATAATAAAAAAAATGTTTCTCTTGTGAGGGTAGCGAGTTGTCGAAACTCCGATTAATTGACTTGATTAATCTGAACTGATTTTATTGGATGAATTGTTGGAGCTTTGATTAATTTAATTTCAATTTAGTTGGCTTTGATTTTGTTGCTCATAATTGAAATTAAATATATATCAACTATATTTTTCGTACATAGCTTACCAGATTATGATTTTGTCCAGTGCATTTCTATTATCATATTTATTATAAATTTAAATTTCACAAATAAATATTTCAAGATTGGTTAAATATATTTTGTAGTACAAAAATTTATTTATATATATTTAAATAACTATTTTATTCCCTGTTGGAATGCTAGTCCCGGGCAACACGTGGGAATAATTACTAATTTGTCGAAAATAAGAAAACTAATACATATTGTGAATTATAAATTGTTATAGCATTAAATTCATTATATATTATAAAATTGAACAATTAAATGGGGCAATTATTGACCTAGTGACCTTAAATGTTTATTGAGCATCTTTAAAACAAAAACACAATAGTTTTTTAATTGCAATTTTTGGATGAGGTTGTACTGTTAAGATTCAAGAAGATGAGGTTTGAATTGTCAACAACAATAAGTCAATAATTACACTAAATGATTAAGTTGGTGTTTTCAAACACCACCACCTTAGTCAGGCCCGTTCCTGGGAATTCGGGAGCCCAAGGCGAACTATGTAGATCTTTGAAACGGGGCCCCAACCAGAGGCAACATTGCCTTTTTTTTTTGTTCGAAGTAATATAACATAGTAGGTTTAAAAACTGGGGGTACGGGGGCATCGCCCCCAATTTTTTTTAGCGGTGATGAGTGTAAGTTTTACACTCAATTTATATTTTCTTATGAGGATTTTCGTGGAATTATAGGAATTTTGATTGCACTAGGAAACTCCAATATATTACCAAGTCTTCATTACATCTATATAAGATAACCCCAAAGACGAAAAACTGGACTTTCTCTACTCAATCTTAGAACAAGAAGAACGAGATAACGGAGAATCAAAGACAAAAACTTGACGAATCTTCATCATAGCTCTTCTTTTATTTATCTTTTATGAATATATGTACTTTTATTTTATATATAGATTATCAATAAATACTAATGTATAAGGACTATTTTTCTAAAATCGGGGCCCCTAAAATTCATAAAAAATCGGGGGCCCAAGGCGACCGCCTTTCTCGTCTTCCCTCAGAACCGGGCCTGACCTTAGTGTGACAAATAATGCTAAAAACAAATACCAATGTTGAAAGAATATATAAAATTAATGTTGCAGTGTAAAACCCGGAAGGCCGGAAACTAGACAATCCGAGACATTGATTATAATCGGAGCCGGGTCAACGGTCCCAAGACTGGAACCGCAATGAAAATCGGAACAGGAAAAAAGCAGTCTTAGTTTGCAGTTTCTACCTAGAAACAAGTTTATAGTAGAATTTTCCAGGATTTAAAGAAGATTGCAATATATAATTATTTGTAGTGTGTGCATTGATAATAAACAAAAAAAAATTGACTCATACTTTGTTACTTAAAATGTCAAGGATTTTAATATCAATAAGCGTTTGTAGTCCAACGGTTAGGATAATTGCCTTCCAAGCAATAGACCCGGGTTCGACTCCCGGCAGACGCATTTGGTTTTTTCATTTTTTGATATTTTGAAGTTCATTTTTCTTTTTGCTTATTTTCTGTATGTGTTGGAGAAAGCAAAATTGGATATAAGTTATAAGCCAAAGAAACTGACAAAAGCTGTTAATGCACAACAGCAGATCTCTACATACTTTCCAGGAAAAAAAGAAGATTACAGTTGTCTAATATTAAACAACAAAAAATTACAAACCTCTCTCTCTTACATAAGTTGTGCTCGAATATTCGAAAGAAAAAAATCTCAAGAAACTTGATAATTTCGTCGTGTTATTGAATGGACAACAAATTTACACTAAATTAATTCATTGAACGAAATTCCATGTCGAACTGATCTTATGAACCCACGTCTATGCATCACCATTTACATCAACAAAAAGCTTGTTAGTGAGGCTCCTCCAACTCGCACTATAATCTACCGAGTGGTGACTCAGAGGCATAATCATCGGCCAACCAGAGACCATAATCTTTAAATCGTTTAGTCTTCTTTTCAAAACCGATTATGTAATTGTTGTGGATTACAACATGCATTCCCTTTGTTTCTTGTACCCATGTCTTGTTCTTGAAGTATAATCCGCCAGTAGGGAATGCCTTTTGAGGTAGCAGGTATACATCTACCTGAAACGAGATCTCAGACATTATCAGTAAAATGCAGCATGACTAATTTCTTGATTATCGGTAAAAAGGCAGCATGAGTAATCTTGATGATTAATAAAATAACCCATTATCCCGGGAGAACATGATTCGCAACGTCGACTTACAAGCATTACTATAAGTTAGCTCATAACATACGTTTCATCTAGCAATAGCATCGAAAATCTCAACGTAAATGGTGCTGCATCTAGTTAGAAGTGTGTGACTGAAATTTCATCCGCTGTTTAAAATGTTTCGATCTGAGCGGAGTATTTCAGGGAACCCAGTTTACGTGTTACATCATCAAGGGTTAGTTTGACCAAATACCCAGAAATGGGTTGGCTGGCTGACCAGTCAATCCTCTCCTAAATGCTTAAGGAATAATTAACGGCAGAACGAAGAGAGAAACAGCGTCAAATGTATTATATTGAAAACTACATAGTCCCAGCATATACTCAACATATAAAATCAAATGAAAGATTATGCAAAAACATACGTCTGATACATTCATGTAACTCATTCATTGAAAGGGGATGCAGCAGAGAGTATAATATATGTACCTGCCCAGCGGTTTTATTCAACGCCCAATTAAAGCCAGGCTGGTCATTAGCTTTCTTTGCTCTAGACCAAGGTTGGTCTTGTAGTTCTTCAATCCACTTTTTCATCAGTAATTTTGCTCCAGAAGTGGGGCGCAAATAAATAAAGCAGCTACAAATGTAAGTACGTCCCTTTTTCCCTGGAGGCGGCAATTCATGAGAATGATCTAGAGGTTTCACCTGGTAGTTTCAGTTAACCCAAAAAAAAACTCATCAATAATTAAATGAACAGAAATTCTTAAAATACATTGCAATTAAGCTAGCCACGAGTTTCAAAATAACAGGTAATTTAACTAATTGAATTTATAGTTTCTTCTATAGTTCAGCTAGGAGATACGAAGCCTTTATTTGTTCAGAGAAGAGCATTTACAGATACTCCTATTTCTTCTATCTGATTCTTGATCTAGATACAGCAAAATAAATCAAATTACAGACTAGAGAGGCTTTTTTTTTTAGTGTTTCTGAAGCCATCATTCAGATTCCTCTAAACATATATCTATGTGTAAGGGAATATTTGGATAATTTCATAGTGGATTTGCTGCATAAATCGCTAGTATTCACGCGTTTGTTTAACTTTGGATTGAAATATCAAGTTAAGAGGCCACAAACAAATGGTTGATTCATGATGAGAGAAATATTTGGATTAAGAAGCAATTAGCAAACTTACAAAGGCCATGTCATCCATGAAGTACACGTCATGCTCGCCTTTGAGATAAGGAAAGGGATCAGACAACCAAACCATATCGACATCGTTGTACATAACATTATAGCCGAGCTCCAAAATTTGCAGGAGATGACGTGGCCTTCGTGCTGTAAAATTGAAGAACCCCTGAAATATGGAATCGACCGAAGAAAACTAAATAACAATAAAATACAAAGCTAACACACTCACTATCCATGAGTTTATCAAGAACGAACGATGTAAGATTTAGCAAGCAACTAACTATTTCTCACCACAAAAACTCTTGATAACATTTCTTTCTCACCAATCTACTAAAGAGTGAATTGAAACTAATCCGCACAAAAAAAGTGCAATGTGTATCAATCCTTAAACTGCAAGAACAGCATTATTCAAAAGAAGCATATTATCACTATCTCGTGCAACGCAATTCTGCCCTCTATCTCCATCGAGAATCGAACTGAGTAAATTTATACAAATTTATTTTGTTAAACCTTCAAGCTAAGTAACTCCATACTCCACCTTCCCAATGTTGATAAATCAATTAACTAAATCTTCACAATAGCACTTCATAAGAAATCAATTTCATAAGTCGAATTCAGCTACACAGTATTAGTTTATGTGCGATGTTTGTAAGATACATCACATATAAACAAATTTCTATTGTCAAATCACACAAAACACACACACACACACGGAGAGAGAAACTACCTGAGATCCAAACTTGTGAGCGGCGGCGGCCTCCAGCGCAGGGGGAACCAAAACGGCGTGGCCAGGCCACCGCTCGTTCACCTTATAAAGAGTGGCGTAATCCTCGGCAATCACCAAAACCTTTTCCTGCTGCTTTTGCCGAGAAATGCTAATCAGCCAGTTGTTCAGAAACGGCAAATAAGCCTCGCTGACAGCGCACACGATCAGCGTGTTGTTCCTCGCCACGTAAGCGGCCGCATCCGGTAGCGTGTACCCGCGCCACTTGGAATCGGAGCTCCTGGAACTTAACGAAAGGAGGGAGCCGGGAGACTGTATGTAAGGGAAAAGTACCCCGGCGACGATTAGCAGGGAGAGGAGGAGGAGGACGAGCACGGCGGGGCTGCGGCTGAGGAGAGAGGAGGTAGGTTTTTGGTAATTTTGGCGGGATCGAGGGGATAAATCGTCGAGGTATGACGACGGAGTGTGGAGTGGCCTTTGGTGGAGAAATGCCGACATCTTTTTTTCTCTGATTTTTTCTTTTTTTTTTGGAATTCCAGTTAACTAAAATTGAAATTCTCAATTGATGATGAAGCTGTGTGTGTGTGTGTGAGAGAGAGAGAGAGAAAGAGATCTCAGGCGAAAGAAGTGGCCGCCGGTGAGGAAGTGGATCGGGAAATAGAATTTGGTGGAAAATGGGCTAATTTAGATTTGAGTTTTTATGGGTCAGCCCAATACTCTTTATTGGCCTTATTTGATATCTTTTTGGTTTTTATTAGGGCTGTGCATGGATCGGTTTTAACCACCAACCAACTCATTTTCGACCCATAATTTGTGATGGTTAATCAACCATCAATCGACCCATTTAAGTTGGGTCGATAATGTCAATCAACCCATGTATAGTTGGGTCGATAATGGTTTCTAATATGCTAAAAAGTTGGTTAGTCGGGTAATATCGGCCAACCAACTTTATATATTAATTTATTATTTATTAATTTTATTTAAAATGTTTAATATTTTTAATTTCAAATTTCTATTTTATATCACATTTATTAAATTGTTTAATATTGACCAAAATCCTAAAAGCAATAAATCTAACCTAATTATCTAATTTGAACTATTTTAATTAGAAGACATATAGTCTAAATATTTGGACTATTATTAATCGTTGAACTATTTATGTTTAATTGCAATACATATGCCCTTGAATCTTTTATTTGAATATTGTTGAACTAGTCACGTTTAATTTATAAAAGATATAACGTTGTAACAACTAATAAAATATTAAAAAAAAATTAAAAAATATTTAGATGGATGACCCATCAACCAAACCATCAACCAACCAACGAAATTGGTTTTCAACCATCACCCAACCCATATAAATTGGGTCGATAACGGTTCCCAATATTTACCAAAGTTGGTTGGATGGGTTGGGTTGGTTTTACGGCTGGTTTTTAACCAAACCAACCAACGCACAACCCTAGTTTTTATATTTATTCTGTCTATTATGAATGGGAAAATTGTAATTTTGGTCCTATATGTTGGTATCTTTAGGGATTTAGTCCTATAATTTGTCATATTTCAATTTTACATGCAATAATTATGCAAAATTTGTATTTTTTGTCCTATTTCACTCGACTTTGAATTTTAGCCGTCGTTTAATGACGTACCTAACAAACTCGTAGAAATTTATTTATATGGATACTTAAGAATTATAAATGCTCATGTAATTTGATTTATAAATGAGTCGTCTCACATAATTAAAGTTATACAAATGGCAAAATAGATGTCAAATTTATAAATTTCAAGCGTCCATATAAGTAAAATGCGTCAAGTTTGTTTGCCGCGTCATAAAGTTAAAAATCACGCAAAATAGGACTAAAAATACTATATTTGCAAAGTTATTACATGTAAAACTGAAACATGACAAATTAGAGGCCAACATAAATGACCGAAACTACAATTTACCGGAATGGGAATTATGGATCTTTAAGTTGGCTTTGATCAATTTGGTGGAAAATAAGCCTTTTATTCTTTTTATTTTTTCCTTTTTCTCTTCAAAATTGTAAATCAAAGCACTTAATAAGGGGAAAATGATTTTCTAGCCCTCTAAGTTTACTAGTTAGGAGATGTAGTCCCACCCTATTTTTAAATCAATATTTTAGTCCATTAGGTACAAATTTTAGTTTAACAGGATCCAACTGGAGTTTCCTAAAAAAAAAAAAAAAAGGATCCAACTGGAGTTGGGGCCATTAAAGATTTTTAGTGGTCCATTATTAAGGATCCACAAATTTAATCTACACCAGCAAACACCGTATCACTGCCCCCTCGCCACGTGGCAATAATATTTTCCCAACTCTCTAGAAAACTCGAGAGGTGAAAAATACGCGGGAAACATCTCGAATCGCCGGAAGAAATCTACACCATCGACATCGGCACCTGTATATAACCATTCAAACCTTCCCCTTTTTATATATGAATTGCATAATCTCAGATTTCAAAACTAATAATCAGAAGAAGAAAAGGATATCAGAGTTTCGAATTATCTGTTTTTGTCGTGTGAGTTTGGTGGATCGTACCTCTGCACCGGAAACTGAGTCAACCCGATCCGCTGATTGCCTTGGAAGCATCTTCTTACTCCACTTCTTCCATCTCGTTTTGCCAATCGTAAGTGATTTGTGCTGTATTATTTCATCTCGTGGTTTTGATTTCTAAATACTGAGCTGGAAATTATCCTCGTTTCTGCTGAGTTGTTAGAGCTAAATCACCCCATCAAACTGTTTGATGAAATTCCTGAATGAGTGGATTTTGATTTTGTAGTTGGTGTTACACTTACACATTTTGATTTGAACTGTTTTTTCCAGGAGATTTCTGCTTAATTTCCCCCTTATTTCTCTGTACTGGAAAATCTAATTGGGGCAACAATTTGAGATGGATCCTGTGTATAAAAATATGCAGCAATATCCATATCAGATTCAGAAGGATCAAATGAACCATGGCCCTTATTATTATCATCATCCAGGAACTGAAACTGCACCACCACAAATGTATATGAATCCGCCTGGACCTCCAGCAAATTTCGGATATTGCCCTTGGAGCAGCAGCTATGGTTATCCCTCACCTATTGGATGCCATGGCTGCTGTAACCATACTCATCCGCCACCACATTACGCCTGGGCAACTCCTTATGGTTCTCATCTTCCTCCTTTTCATGTTCCTATAAATTATCCTTCTTTTCCGGTTCCGTACATGCCGGGTTATGGAGTGGAGCAGCCTCAATACGAACACGAAAATAATTTGCACATGGGTCATCATTGTTGTGGGTGCTCCAATCATCAGTTTCAACCGAAAGAGCAGAACAATGTGAGAATCGAAGAGGAAGAGCCTGAGAAGGGAAGGAGAAAAAATGACTCTCTGGTTCCTTTTCAGTTCAAGAACGGACCTCATCCTATTGCGTGGCTTCCATCTGGTTACAGTAACGACAACGAGCGGGGGAAAGTGAAAGACTCGGAAGATGGAAAAACTGTTGTACAGAAGCCAGCTTCGTGGAACGGATGGTACCCTCTTGATTTCGATAATTTGGTACCTTCGAAGCAAAGTGGAGATGGAGGAATAAAACGTCCACAAAATGATGGCAAGGGGAATTTCCCGTTTCCATTGTTTTGGTTGCCTAATTACAAGCCCGGGGAAAAAGAAATGGAAGGACATAAGGGGAACGACTCAATCTTGGCATCACAGAAGGATTCGGGTCCGGGTTCGGAGGAAAGCTTCCATGTGAACAGGGAAAAAGAAAGACCAGTGAACGAAGGGAAGGGGCACAAAGAAAAGGAGGGTTTCGAAAATCGGGAGAAAGAAACAGATGCCTCTGTGAAACCGAGCATCGGTAGTGGTGAGAAGAAGCTTGACAATGAAGAAAAGAAGCTTCCCAACAAGGGTGATAACCGTGATAAGGGAAAACCCGCTTCATCAAAATCATCCAAGCTACCTCCTGTCTGTCTAAGAGTTGATCCATTGCCGAGAAAAAAGGTTGGCAATGGAAGCTCAACTCGTCAAGGTGACAAAGAAAAACCGAGCACGGTTCTCAATTCGTCGGACAACAAAGAGCTGGATATGGATACGCGCAGTGAGTTTAAGGAAAAGAAGGGCACAAAAACCATTGAGGTTGTCGACGCGAATGCTCAGAAACAACCAAAAATGGTTGTCAATGTGCAAATTCCTATCGGGCAAGGCAATGTTTTGACTAAGCCGAAAGAGGAAAATATTTGTCAGGGTCAATCGGAGGATGTTGGATCTGCCCTAGAGAAGAATGGAGAATTGTTGAGAGATGAAGCAATAACGAAGTTGAGGAAAACAGATCTGTCTGAGGAGGAAGCAGCTGTTGTTATTCAATCTGCGTATCGTGGCTTTGATACTCGCAAGTGGGAACCCGTAAAGAAGTTGAAACAAATAGCGAAAGTGAAAGAGGAGATAGCTAATGTAAAGCATCTAATTCAAGAAATGGAGGAGTCGGCTTTTGATGTTGAAGGGAGTGGCAAACAAAGACACATTGTTGCGGAGATTATAATGAGCCTTCTGCTAAAACTCGACGCTATACAGGTATCTTATTATTTCTCTTATCTTATTGTGTGCCGTTGAATTTAACTTTTTTGGTTTTGTGCCTATGAATAATCTAATTTGTGTGCAAGAAGAACACACGTCCAATTGCAAATATTCCCCGTAAAGATCGATTGCTGATTCTAATTTTATTGTTCTTCACATTCAGGGATTGCATCCGAGTGCAAGGGAAATCAGGAAATCTTTGGTGAGAGAACTTGTCATTCTTCAAGAGAGGCTGGATTCAGTAACAAAGAACATAAGGCCTGAAAACCCACTCGAAGAGGAGTCAGTTTCAAAACATGATGAAGATGATTTAAACAAAGCCGAAGATGTTCTACAAACCGAGAGTGGCAACAAAACCCCATCGGTGTTAAAGGAGGTGCATCAGAACCATGAAAACACGGAAGTCCCAGAGGCGACAGAAAACTTAGAAAATGAAGCTGCAGAGAATTCTTTGACTAAAAATGGCGAGTCAGCATCAGAATCGACAATGAAAAACGAAGACGAGAGGAGCAATGAAGTGCCCCAAAATGACGAATTCTCAATTCTCGAAGAGGAACTAGTGCTTGAGAAAGGCTCTAAACTCCCATTATTGCAGAATAGCGCCTCTATAAATGTGACCGATTTAGAGCAAACGGATTGCCACAAGCTTGAGAGCGATTCGGCTGAGCTTCCTCAAGGTGTACCTAATGACCCCGATGCGCGAGACAACATAAATTGCAGGGATGGGACTTCGGAACAGCAGACTGGCACTGCAGATGAAGAAAACATCGAAATTACTCATGAGGTATCGGAATCTGATCTTCCACCTAGTGATGTTAAATTCGAATTGGAGGCTGAAGAAGCTAGTCCCACTCACATCAATGAGTCTTCTGCGTGCAACAAAATTGGTGGAGATGCTGAATTCTTTGACCCTGATCAACGCAGAGATCAAGAATCACTAGACGACACCATTGCCGAAGCGAAAGTAGAAGCTGAGAATGTCAATTTGGAGCGAGAAATGTGTCGCACCAATGGCTCTGCAAATACTTGTGAGGAAACAGCAGATCATATGACTTGTCAAGTCGAAAATGAAGGACCTTTGGAAGTCACCTCCGATGAAGCTAAAGATAGCTCCGTTTCTCGGGTTGATTCAACTCCGCCTCGGGTTCCGGTTATCAGGGATGATATGTATGAGAGTAACAGAAAACTGATTGAAGAAAATCAAAGGTTGAAAGACATCATGGAGAAAATGATTAAATCAGGACAAGAACAGCTGACTGCCATTTCAAGTCTTTCTGGGAGAGTCAAAGATTTGGAGAGGAAACTGTCAAGAAAAAAGAAGCTAAAGATGAAAAAAGTTAGAGCAAAGTAAATATAAGCTATGGCCAATTGGCCATGTAACAGTTTACTGTGTATTGTGTGTGTGTGTCTTTTTTTTTCTTTTCTGTGTAATATAATAAGAGAGATAAATTTGTAAATTAATGTGATGCCAATTTTTTTTTTTTTTCTCCTTTGAATTTCATTTTTATTGAACTAATTTCAAGAAACAATTATATATAGTTATGTAGAGCAGTTAAATATCTCAGGTAATTCCACCACCTAGTTACAGGCTGTATCAGTCGTTTCACTCTCTCTCTTAATTCTTGATTTCTTGTTTTCAGGAATAAATAGATGAGTAGCAGAAGTAATACATATATATATATACTTAACGGAGAGAGTGATTTTGGGGAAGAGAACTTAACGGCCACATGGGGACGCAGATTCTGGAGATCAACTTGATCTCCGCCCAGGGTTTGAAGCCGCCGTCTGCTAACTTGCGCCGAATCCAAACCTACGCCATCACCTGGATTGACCCTGCGACGAAGCTCCGAACCCATGTGGACTCAGTCGGCGGCGAGAACCCTACCTGGAACGACAAGTTCCTCTTCCGAGTGTCCGACGAATTCATCGCCGGGGACACCTCCGCCGTCGCCGTTGAGATCTTCGCCGTCGGTTACATCAAGGATATCCTCATCGGCACTGTGCGTTTTCTTCTCAGCACGTGTCTGAAGCGAGCGGCGTCGCCGATCGACTCCGCCGGCGAGGGTTCGATCGGAACCCCTTCCTGCACTGGCTTGCAGATCCGCCGCCCCTCCGGCAGATTCCAAGGCGTTCTCAACATCGCCGCCGCCGCGTACCGCTCCTCCGATTACGCCGTCCTGGAGAACGTCTCGGCCGTGAGTTTCCGAGGCCTGATGGAGAAGAAGGAGAACGAGTCCCGCCGGCAGCGGAGGCTGAGCCGAGGCGGATCTAGGCGGAGCCAGCAGTCCTCCGGCGGAGAATCATGTGATTTTTCCGACGGTGCCGATTCGACCACGTCGTCTTCCTCGACGGCTTCAACGGCGTTGAAGGAGTGGAACTGTGTCCGACAAATGGCGGGAAAGATGAAAGATGCCAAATCCAACGGCGCCGGTGGATTGCTTTGCGGGTTGAAGATGCAGAGGAAGATCCCCTTCTGTCCGTCGGATCAAAATCTCGACTTATGGGAAGACTCTTTCGATGAAGAGAAGGATTGATCAACGGCTGAGATCACTCCAAGCAGAGATCACTCAAATATCCACACTGTTATCCATTTTTTTTTTTTTACCTGATAAAATTTTGAAGCAAACTCTACAAGCAGTGTGGATTAAATTCATTTAGTATTCTTTACAATTCTTTTTTCTTTTCCAATAAATTGAATTCATTAGTGAGTGTGTCTTGTGAAAATGGTACATCTTTTATTTGATTCCGATTTTAATAAATTGATTTTAAAAAACTAGCATTTTTTTCCTGGGATATTATTTGAAAATTGAAAAAAATAATTAATTTAATATATAATAAGAAAATACAGTACATAGTAAAATTTAATTATGTAGTATTATTCATATTATACATAACATTAGTTTTTTTAAATATTGCATATTAAGATTTATACTCCAATCGAATTTCTATCTTTATCTCTTAAGATAAGATTTGAGATATATTGATGAAAAATAGAAGATTGATAATTGTTGAAAAATATAGTAAAAAAATTAGTAGAAAAATATATTAAAAATAAATAATTACAGAAACACCATTATGATTTTTTAGATTTGCCTCACGTTTCTTTCTTTTATATATAAGAAATATATATATTAATAGGGGCTATACGTCAAACACCCTTCATTAGAATTTTAATTCTTGATAAATTCTTTATTTATAAATAATATTTGCGATAAATCTAATGGGCCTGAAAAACCATATATGCCCCCCACTAATTATTAATCTTATATATAAAAGAAAGAAACCCTAGGCAACCCTAAAAAACCCTAATGGTATTTCTTTAATTATTTATTTTTAATATTTGTTTCTCTACTAATTTTTAACAATTATCAACTTTCTATTTTTCATCAATAAATCTTAAGTCTTAAAGATAAAGATATAAATTCGATTTGTAAATCTTAGGGGTGAAAGTCGGATGGATCGGATCGGAATTAGCCTTTTCGGAAAATTTCTAAAAGTTTCGGTAGTACAAAATCAATTCCAATTTCAATTCCAAAATTTTCGGAATCTAAAAATTCATTCCAAATCCAAAAGGCCCGGAAATTTCGGAATTTCGGAAAAAAATCGGAAATCACATAAGCTTAAAATTTTCAAAACTTAGCGAATTTTTTCTAAAATGTTCATAATTTTCTAAAAATAAGAACGTCCACGTCGATAAAAGTAAAACTAACAACTTCTAAATTTTAGTCCAAAAAATAAATAAATATGTAATACAACTTCTAACAACAATTCATCGTGTCAAAATCCTAAAACAAAATTTATAGGTGTATTTTGGGGAAAAAATAAATATTGTATAATATTTAAAATTTATAGGTGTATTTTCGGAAAAATATCGGAATTTTTCGGAATTAATTTCGGAAATTAAATCGGATCGGAAATCGGAAATTCCAAATTTATTTTATATAATTCCAATTCCAATCCAAAAAAATCGGAAAAATTCTGAAATCGGAATTTCGGAAGTCGGAATGAAAAAAGTTGTTCTAAAATCGGAACTTTTCGGATCGGAACCGGCGGAAATTGGAATTTTCATTCCAACTTGCACCCCTAGTAAATCTAAATCTATATATTCGGATTATAAATCTTAATATGTAAAATTTAAACAAACTAAGTTATATAAAATATGAATAATACTACACTATTAAATTTTACTATGTGCGTGTACTATATTTTCTTATTATCTATTAAATTGATTTTTTTTACTCTTGAAATAATATCCAGTGCATCGCACGGGGGAAAAATGCTAGTTAGTATAATTATTTAATTTAAAAGGAAATATACCCGTAATCTACACCAAAATCTTCTCAAAAAATTATTCCTCTCATCACGCTAATTCAGTTTTTTTTTTCCTTTTTTTTTGTTTAATGGTTTTTTATTTCGATTTAAAAGAAAATTTTGTAATTATTTTTTTTATTTTTTTTTTATTTTCGGTTTTTTATTTTAAATTATGTTTTTTCTTATTTATATTTTTCATGTTTTTTTATTTTAATTTAAAAAATGGTTTTATTTTTATTTTCATTTTTTCATGGTTTTTCTTTTTTCTTAATTTTGAATTTATTTTAAAATGTTTTTTTTTTATTTTCTTTCCAGTTTTTTAAATAAAAACCACTTTATATAAATATGAAAACCACTTTATATAAATATGAAAACCACTCTGCATAAACAACTATATAAAGATGAAAATCACTCTATATAACAATTATGTAACATGAAAACCACTATGCATAACAACTATATAAATTTGAAAACCACTCTATATATCAACTATGTCAACATAAAAACCACTCTGTATATAGAGTTGTATAAAATTCTGTACAAAAATTATTGAAAACCACTATAATTTTTGTACAGATTTTTATAACGGTTTATGTAAAATGTTGGAAACCACTATAAAAATATGTACATAATTATTGAAAACCACTATAAAATTTTGTAAATAATTATTAAAAACAACTCCACCTTTCCATTCATTAGTTTCTGCTCTGAGGCTAACCCAGACTTAAAACCTCGTATTGCTCAATCGATCCAACTCAACCCTTTGGGAAAACTTTCCTAATCCCACGAACACAATTGTGATTGGACAGATAAGCCAATTGCTTCACAAACCCCAACAGTGCATAGTCCAAATTCAGTCCCACCACACTGCATCCCCAAAATTCAAATCAATTCAAAACCCAAACCCCACTAAATAATATTGTAAATCATCAATATAATGAAATGAAGAAATTAAACAGTGAAAATTAACCTTTTCCTCCTGAAATTCAATACACAAAACTGATGGACCAACACACAAGAGCTATCCATTCCAAAACATTGTAAATCATGATGATTTACAAGGAAAGTGATGAGTTAGAACTAGGAGAGAGTAGTGTTGGTTATGTTAGTATAAATTAACTCTATTTCGAAACGTGAAAAAACAAGCAAAAACGAAAGCTTTATCGGTTCCTGTTATATGCTCTAATGCACATATATTAAGCAAAGCGATAAGTGGATGTCTCTGGAACAAATTTAAATTTCGCTTTTCGCAAATTTGGCTTCATTGATCATGCTCGATTTTTTCTTTAACCATGATTCTCATCTAAAACAACTAGCGACAGAATAATTAAGAATAAATAGATGTACAGTATTCTTTCAGGCCTCAAAAAGCAAAGCTCGTTCAGCATATCCTAACTCATTGCAACAGTTACACCAACTTCAGCACGCCTAATGACTCGGTCGTGAAGCATATATCCAGTCTGTATTGGTAATCAAAGACTTTCGGTCATTGCTTGATGAGTAATGATGATAAGAGCATAATTAAGACATTAGCAGAATATACACAGTATTCGGAAAAGAGATTTATCCATGTTGAAACCATTTTTAAGAAAACCTAGTCCAACGTACCTTTAGAACAACTGCAACATGATTTGCTGGTTTTGAAGCATCTGGAACTTGGAAAACGGCATTATGCCTGTTTGGATCAAATTCTTCGTTTGTCGGATCATATTTCTCTAATCCAAACTTTCTTAATACCTGCAAATGTATAAAAGAAAAAGAAATTACACACACACAAAAGCTATCCATCCCAAAACATTGTAAATCACCTTCAGATTAACTGAATTCCGCAACGCCATTCTATTTTTTTTTTTTTTTTCCTTTTTCCTCCGCCGGATTCGGATGCAGCCACGGTTGAATAAGAATCTCGTGCCTCCTGACCACCATTCTGCTACCATCCCAGCGGCGGAGACATTCCTCTCCGGCGGCGGCGCAACGGCGGTGGAGGAAGGTAGAGTTGCTCGGAGCGTGGTGTATATGGTGGTGGTGGTGGAAGGGGACGGAGAGGTGGAGGCTGTGATTTTTATTTTTTATTTTTGAGTAAAAGGGGTGATTATTGTACGCAATAAAATTATGGTTGAATAAATAATTAAAGGGTATAATGATGAAACTTAACTTTTTTTAATTAATAAAAGACGTTTTGAATTTATCTTAAAATTGAGAATTTTTTTTGGACCTAATATAATTGGACTTGTCTAATGGGGAATTTTTGCGAAATAATCCCATATTAATAATGCCAAATTGGGCTTATATCCATTTTCAAATTCATGGTCTAAAAGCCTATTAAAGACTCGTAAAAAAACTTCAATGAAATAGACAAATGATATAGTGTAGGACATGTCTGGGCCCGCTACTCTAACAGTCTGTTGAACCATTATAATTTATATTCATCTATCTAATATTTGTCGGGCCAAGGGATAGGGGCCTCGAGCCGAGTGATTTCGTCTTTTGGTATATTTGATATAGTTTAGTAGAATTTAAGACCATTAATTTTAATTTTATAGGATAAAGTTTAGGATAATTTAAGAACCTTCTAGTGTCGTATGTGCAGCGAATAAACACTTATTGTGTGCAACAATTTGCAAATGCACAAGAGGTGTAAATCGCATCGAATCACGTGCTATGAACTCGATCTAGTAATTACTAACATGATCGAGAACAAACTCGAATCGTCAAACGTATGTGTTCTTACTCCAGTAACTATATCAACCTTGTACGACCATAATAGTTTTGCATTTGAACAAATTTGTGTGTGTTAGGAGGATGGTGAGGCAAAGACTCAAAGTATATACCAAAACTAAGTTATGAAGAAATGAAAAGATGGGGGTTACACTTGCAAAATAAACAAGCATACATTCCGCCTGCAAAGTAGGACGGGTGTAAATTGGATAATCGTGGATTCAAATTTATTCGACGTTTTAAAAGACCTAATTTATTATGCAAGACTATTTACATTTCGAAAGGCATGAACCATCGTCGAAAACGAGTTTGTTGTTGTGTTATTCAAAAAATTAGTCACACGAAGTTTAAATATCTGAATTTATTAAAAAAATGAGTAGTGGGAATACATTTTTTTAAGAAAAATGAATTTATTAATTAGGAAACAATACAAATACATAATTGACGGGACGGACGATTGTAATTATTTAGAGACTTTTTCATAATTTAAATTTACCTCATGGAGTGATAGTAATTTACATTATATCCAATTACACATTATTATATATATATATATATATATATATATATATATATATATATATATATATATATATATTATTATAATTAACCTTATATTCCAATTTTTGTATTTATATTTTATCTCATCGGATCCCATTAAAGAACCTCCATCAAATTCCTTGAGTGCTCACCTAAACACACACACACACTCAGTGAAGTTTGTCTGCATCAAGAGAATCGAAAAAGCCCTAATAAATGCCCGCCCATCTCTTTCATTCCCAATCTTCGTGTCGTTTAGGCAACATCAATTGAACGTAAAAGGAAATAAATAAAAAACATGGTTAAATCCGCACGAATCAATTTACCCCCATTTCTTATCCCTTTCGTGTTCGCCGTTGTGTTTTCGACCCATCCCCCCTCTGAATTTCAAGGTGTTTGATCAATCTCAGAAGACCCATTTGCCTTTTGCATCAATAGGTAATAATTTTTTAGTTTTTTCTGTTTAATTTGATGAAATTCACCGTGAGTGTGTGTGTGTGTGCTGGGATCTGCTTCGATGTTCATTTATGGGTGTTTTGATGTACCTTTCAATGGTGTTTTGTTGGTATAATGTTTCTATTTCACCTAACATTATTGAATTTAAACTGAAAATGAAATTAGGGTTGCATTTGCGTGATAGATTTTAATAGTTTGAAGAATGGTTGCTTTCTGCCATTATGCAATCTAATTGTTGATGTATACATTTATGTATGGTGATAGATATATATGGTTATATATTTTATTTATTTAATTATTTATGTAGAGAAACCAGTGGTTGCCATTATATATATATATATATATATATATATATATATATATATATATATATATATATATATATATATATATATATATATATATATATGATCTATGCTTACGGGGAAGTCTTGCAATATGAAACGAAAAGGCATTGCGTAAACACGTGGCTTACTTATTCTTCGATAACTCGATTCAGTATTCACCTCTTGTTCTTGTAGAAGTAAGATATAGTGGTAGTAGTGCTCTTTAAATATCGATTTCTCGTGTCCAGTTTCTCTAGTTATCTCTTTGCTTTTTCTTGAAAATACTTTTTTTCTGTGCGTAATTTTCTTTAACGTAGGGCGATGTGTAGTTTTGCCTTTGTCTTTTTTGAAGCTCTCGGGTTCTTTTAGTTAAGATTTACCTTGAGGGTATGATGGAATCTAATCATGATTCTGCAAAATGATGCCCTTTTCGTTAATGCAAGAAATCGATGAAAATTGATCTCGTTTTATATAAATCTCTTTTGGTTATGTGACTTATTACTTGATTAGATTATGAGTCTCTTTTGGTTTTTTGCAGGTTTTGTCATAATGGAAGGAGAAAATTCATGGACAAGTCATTCGAACGAAACCTCAGTAAACAATACATTCAAATTCGATTCATTCTCAGAGCTGCACGAAGACACCAATCAAGAAGCTGCTCCCATTTCGTTGGATTTAATTTTGCCCGACGATCTTTTGGAAAGAATATTATCCCATCTCCCCATAGCCAGCATCTTTCGAGCTGGCTGCGTGTGCAAAAGATGGCACGAAATAGTGACAACAAAGAGGTTTCTGACGAACACCTCTAAAGTACAATCAAGAAAGCCATGGTACTTCATGTTCACAAGCTCCGACGAACCAATCGGATATTCCTACGACCCGGTTTTCCGAAAATGGTACCCAATCGAGCTCCCGTTTATCGAGAACTCCAATTGGTCCATCGCTTCATCGGGCGGGCTAGTGTGCTTCACGGGTCGGGATATCGGATCCGAATTGTACATTTGCAACCCGATTACAAAACAGGTCAAGTGGATAAATGGGCCCGCCGGCCCGAAATTCTCCGATTATAGTGCATTGGCTGTCTCGGTCGATCGTGGGTCCCACAGATATCAAATCTCGATCGTGAAGTCTATGGAAGTTTCCGGAAGCTTCTTTGAATGGGATGTTTCTATCCACCTCTACGATTCGGTGGAAATGACGTGGACGGCGGCTTTGACCGAGGGTTTGACCGGGTGGAGGGGCGGGGGCGAAAGCGTAATTTGCGGTGGGGTTTTGTACTTTTTGGTCTACTCGACAGGTGGCGGTGGTGGGCCGGGGCATAGGCTTGTCATGTACGATCTCAAAAGTGGTTCGGTAAACGGTGGTTCTTTGATGGGGGGTTTTGTGGGTGTGCCTTGTGCTTTGACTTGTGGACGTCTGATGAATTTGAAGGAGAAGCTTGTGATGGTTGGGGGAATAGGGAAAAACGATCGGACGGATATTATTAAAGGGATCGGAATTTGGGTTCTTGATGGTGGGAGAGAGTGGCGGGAAATTACGAGAATGCCACATAGGTTTTTTCAGGGTTTTGGGGAGTTTGACGATGTTTTCGCGAGTAGTGGGACCGACGAGCTCGTTTATATACAGAGCTATGGTGGGCCGGCCCTTCTTGTTTTCGATTTTGGTTTGAAGCAGTGGAAGTGGTCGCAGAAATGCCCCGTGGCTAAGAGGTTTCCGCTTCAACTTTTTACGGGTTTTTGCTTTGAACCGAGGCTGGAAATTGCTCCGTAGATTTTTTATTTTTTTTTATTTTTTATTTTTAAAGATTGATTTACATCTTGTGATTCCTATTTATTTTGGTTTGGATTGTGATTTATGATGTTTGGGTTATAGATGATGCAATATATATTCAACAAGTCTGGTTTATTTATCCTTTGTGTCTGCATAATGTTAGTTCGTCAATTAAGGCATTCATGGGAACACGTTTGCTTTCATTAGTACTAACGGAAAATTGACGAAAATGATTTAAAATGTTGTTTTTTTATTTTTATTTTTAATTTGTGGTTTAAAAAATTGGGGCTATTTGATAAAACCCCCTAATTGGATTTTGACTTCTTAATAAATCCAATTTTTATATTGATATTAGCCATAAATCCAATCAATATAAAATACCTTATATACCCCAACTAATTATTTCAATAAATTAATAAATACAAATCCCCTAATTAATAGCACCAAATCAGGCTCCAAATTCCCTAATTAATTACTTATATGGGGAGTAATTCTCGTAATATTTAGGAACTAATGTTCCCATCAAATTGACTTTTTTTTTTTTTTTTTTTTTTTATTTATTATTATAATTGTAAGTAATTTACATGATTTATTATATTTGGGAAGTAATTTATTCTGCATTATTTCACGAAGGAAAAAATCGAAGACACATGAAAACCGCCCTGTATAAATATGAAAACCACTTTGTATATACATCTACATAAATATGAAAACCACTTTGTACAAACAGCTATATAACGTAAAAACTACTATGAAATTAAAGTAAAAATTAATATAAAATAAGCATAAATTTATCGAAAACCACTACGGAATTGAAGTAAAATTTACTATAAAATAAGCATAATCCACATTAAAAATAACGTAATCCACTATTAAATTAGTGTAATCCACTATTACATAAGTGTAATCCAATATATGTTCATCCAAAACCACTATTAACAAATGTTCATCCAAAACCACTATTAACAAATATATACAAACAAATTCGGCGTCACTTCGGTTGCTCAATAACCTGAACCAAAATGAAAGAAAGGTAACGAATTGTCAGTTTAATTCATTCAAAAATTTAATTTCAAAAGCAAAAATTTAAAATACACTACAAATTTATCAAAATTCACTACATAAGTATTTAAAAACCACAATAATTTTTGAACAAGTTTTTATACTGAATTAGGTTAATTATTGAAAACCACTATAAAAATCTATACATGATTATTGAAAACCACTAAAATTATGTACATAATTATTGAAAAGCACAATAATTTTTGTACATATGTTTATAGAGGATTAAGTTAATCTTCAAAACCAACTAAAATTTTAGGGAGACTAAAATTATTAGGAACGGACTAAAAGTTTATAGCAATGGAAAATACGATACCAATTCACCAAAAAAATAAAAAAATAAAAATACAGGGTAATAATCCTAAAAACATATATTGAAAAATAAAAATAACGAAAAATAAAAATGAAGATGTTGTTTACCTGGTACAACAATGCCACTTGTGTATCATCTGTATATTTATAATATTTATTATAATAATGCTGAGGCAAGGCCGCAAGGGCACAAAGGAGTAATAATCGACGGAATAATGGTGCCGACCAAGATCCGGAAAAGGGGGAGCTCGTCCACGTCATCTTCATCGTCGAGAGTCTACAATTACAGGCTGAACAAGCAGGCAAGAATAGGGCCAGGTTAGGGATCGGATCCAGACGGCGGCTGGAGCGTCGTTGGGTGGGGGTTGGGGCAGCGCCGGTGGGGAGAAGAAGAGGTAAGCGGAAGGAAATCTGCAACGGTGAATAGAAAAGAAAAAAAAAATCTAGAGAGAGAAAAAAGAGATACACGTATGTTCAAGGGCGAGATTTGTGGAGCAAGATTTGTGGGTGAGATTGAGAAGGTGATATTAAGAGAACAAATATTAAGTATATTTATAGGGTCTATTAGTGAAACCCCCTCTAGTATTTTTTTAATAAGAGTGGATCCACTCACATTTTTCATATTAGTACTAGATCCACTATTTTCTTTATACCCCTTATACCCCTATGAAGACACGCATCGATTAAGAAAAAGTGCATCTCAAATCTCACATGACAAAGCACTGCTATAATCACTCCCCCAAATCCCCCATTCCTCGCACCCACCTTCCTTCTCAACTGCCACTACCAAAACAAAATCTCAAAACCTCTGAATTCAACTACGTCGGCGACCATTGTAGGCCAGAAAAATAAATCGACGAAGCTTCCAATCAACGATGAGAGTCGCCGGCAAAATCATACAGGATTCTAAATCTACTACAATTTCGCCGTGTTCTCGTATCTACGTCGGCAGCGAACGACTACAAGAAGAACTATTTTTGTGCTATTTTTTATCAGTATGTTCGTTTCATACAAATAGTCATGTTTAAAACCTACTACATCTTTTTCAAAAAACCAACCCTAACTTTTTTTGTGTGTGTGTTTTTGTTGTACAAGGGAACGACAGATGAAAACGACTAAATTTTTTTGACTCCTGGACACAGGTTAATAAATCTAAAATATTTTTAAATTATTTAGTCGAATTTGATAATTACAATTCTAGTTGTATTATTTGTTATTTATAATATGAAGTATGTTTTGTTATACAAATGGGTTTGAAAAACCTGCTGCACAAGTTATGTGAAGTTTGTGGTTTCTAGTTAATTTTTTCTATAGTTGATTACAAAGACAAGTTTGAATAGGATGTGATTGGGAACGATATTGGAACTTTATTTTTAAGAAAATAGTAGTTTATAAATAATAGTTGTTTAAAGTATTTGTTGCTGTTAAATTTGTATCCTAATGTTGACTATATGTTGGCACTATCTGATTTCTAATACTTATGTTGATTGAAGAACTAATAGTAGATTTAAAAAAATAATAGTCGATTTCATAACAGTTGATTTACATGAAAAGTTGCTTATCAACTGGAAAATTCCTTGCATTTTATTTTAAAAACAAAAGATGTGGTCAAAAATAGTTCATAAAAGTAGTTGGTAATTGTGTTCTTTGCATGTTTGATGCAAATCAACTATTTTCTAAATCAACTATTTATTCAATCAACTTATATCCATTATAGTACATTAATACAAAAATCAACTATTCCTTAAATCGGCTGTTTATTAATTCAACTATTTATTAAATCAACACATCTTCAAACTAGTGCGGTTATGAAAACAACTATTTATTAATTCACATTATTCCACCATCAAGACCATTAATCACAACACATGCATCTAAAGCCGTTAATCACAGCAAATGCCTCCGAAGCCATGGGCAAAGCAACATTCCTGTATTTCACATAGAAAAAAACCTCATTTTATGTCCTCCATAAAATAATTGAATTATCTTGCCCGGTGAAATCACGTTCGATCATCACCATTAAAAAATTGTTAAATGAACAGACAACTTTTTATTTTTCTTCTGAAAATTAAAAATAATTAATCAAAACCAATTATACATTTGGAGTACATCAACTACATTTGCACAAACTGTACTAACATTCTTGCAGTTCCAAAATCAACTCCCAATCCTATAAAAAACGACTATAAAACACCTGATTCCACATACTCAATTCCAACAAAATCCTTAAGTTGCCACCTATAATGAACCCAATTCAAAAAGACTATAAATTTAAAAAAAAAAAAAGACACCTAATTCCGACGAACCCTAACGCGAACAATACGCATCTAAAAAACTTATGAAGCCCGTGGAAGCAGCTTATGCTGCCGATCTGCAAAACCAGGGCCGCCATAAATCCTAACGGAAGGAGGGGCAAATAACTTCGTCTTAGAGTTCCTCGCCAACGACCTACCTAGTTGATGATTTGTTGGTGATTGTCGTCGTGGGAGTTCTGATTGTTCTTCTACTTGAGATTGAACGGCCTACAGAGAAGGGAGAGAAAGAGAGAAAGCGATAGAGGAGAGAGATGAGAGATAAAGAGAGAGATGCATATTAATTCACCCGAGAATTTTGTGATTTGTTATATGACGTAAATTATAGTTCAGGGCTAAATTAGTCATACCGTGATAAATATTACAAAATATTAATTTTATTTAATAAACAAGGGGTTATCACTAATAAAGTAAAAGGAGGTGGATCCACCCTAATGTATTGGGGGGTTCTCACTAATAATCCCATATTTATATTCAACCCTAAGGTAAGGGTAAAATTGTGATAATTAATTATTTTTTATTAATAAAAGATGTTTTGGATTTATCTTAAAAATAAGAAATAAATTTGGTCTCATTGTAATTGGACTTTTGTGATGAGGGGATTTTGTGAAATAATCCCTAAAAAATTATATTTGTCAGTCAAGAGAAAATCAAATCTTGGTCTTGTAATTCTATACAACGTTTTCTTGCCGCGTCAATTCCAATCTATAAGCCCACGTGTTACGCCTAACTTCGAACAATCTTGTCAAATTCTCTTGGTTGAATTTTTATTTTCGTTTTTTTTAATAATATTTTTTTTATATGGGTAAATTACACAAAGAACCCCTAAACTTAGGCTCAATTATAAAAATACCCCAATCTATTCGTAATTACTAAAATCTCCCCGATCTGTGAATGTAATCTTTCCTATTCTAGGAAGTATTCCACGAAAAATGCTCATATGATCCTGCATATGGCGACAAATTGAAGGTAGCCATGCACATTTAAAAAAAAATGCTTGTATATGCTATGATGATTCATATTAGCAATCGAGGAAGTCTACTAATATTGCAATGTGATGTTAACGAAATAAGAGTTTTTGTATAAGGTATATCAATGCCACCTACATTTAAGAGGCTGCTCTTATAGATAAAATCAACATTTTTTGGGAATATTTTCTAAAAACAAAAAAATCAAGTGAAAATTCACAATGTAAAAGGGTCGGTGTAAGACGGAAATAATCGGGGGGTTTGGTAACTACAGATAAATAGAATTATTTTTCGTAATTTAACTTAACTGCTGAGTTTTTTTTCGTAATTTAACCCTTTTATATTCTTACATAAAAATAGTTAAGGGTGTGGATATGTCAATGCACTAACTAGATGAGCCGCCTAGACAATATTTTGACACTAGTGGTTTATTTTTTTGTAATTATTAAAAAAAGAATGGCTGCTTGAGAAATATAATAACAATAAATATAATAATATATGGACCACCCTACCATAGAAAATAGACACCATTAGTGACCCTTTCGTCTTAATGACTAATTCACTAATTATACTTAGCCGTCTTCTAATTAACTTAGTCAGTTTTCACGTAACTAAAACAATTCATATTCATTAAGGTCTCGTTTGGTTGTCATCGATCCTTGATACTTTGGTTAGAAACTAGTTTCGAACATATAACGAGTTTTTAAATTCAAGTAAATCGGAAATGCAGGGAGTTCAAGAATTGCATTCACATTAAAAATAAAATAAAAAATAGACTGACTAATTCGAGGTCAATGTTTATTTTTATTTTTCAAGAGAGTAATATTATAAATTTATATATATATATTTTCATAATTTTATTTCAATAAAAAATAATTAGAAAATCGCAGTATTTATTGGGCCAAAATTACACTGTATTTTCGATCCTTCCAATATTAGAAAGAAGAGTTTGAAATCCAGTACCAAAGGTCCAAAACCTCGCATCTCACCATTCTTTCTCTTTTCTCTCTCTCTCTAGGACTCGGAGGAGAGAGAGTGACGTAATTATGAGGGGTTCGGGTTTGGATCTATTCGACCCGACGACCGCCGTGATGGACTCCGACGATAACTCGTCGCCGGGCGGAAGCCGTGACCCGGATTTCGGCTTCGCTTTCAACGACAGCAACTTCTCCGACCGACTTCTGCGGATCGAGATTGTCGCTGATCCATCGGAGTCTCAACCGGATTCCGACGCTTGCCAAACCCTAGCTGGCTGGGCCGCGCGCAAAACCAAACGACGTCGTGCCGATATTGCCAAAAAGGAAAATGGTGAGCCGGTCAACTTTTCAGTCAACGTAACTGATATTTTTGGGTTTTTTTCTTTCTTTTTTCTTTTGTTGTTTCTGCCTTTTGATGGAATTCGTTGTTGGTGTGGTGCAAAATCAGTGTTCAAGCTTGGTTTCTTTTTTAAATATATTTTTTAATTATTTTATTATTACCCTGTTAACTTGAACTATGTTCTAATTTGGTTTTCCTAGTTTATAAATTGTAACCAACGTTTAACCATCGTTTACATGATTTTTTTTTTATTCATTTCTAACATGAAAGCTTATAAGATTGGCTAAAGAACATTTTTTTTAATCTAAGCTGTATTTTTTCTTCTTGGTTCAATTTTCAGTCGTAGTAATTGCTAAAATCGAGCTTCATAATATTGATGATTAGCAGTAATATTTCTGGAGCCAATATATAAATTCAGTATATACTATATACTGTTGAAATCGAGCTACTTCATGATCAGCAATAGTTAACTCTCTAGGCATGATGGTGGTTAAAAATGTTTTTACTTTATTCAGAAATTGTCAATGCCCTCCTCTACAATTTCGTACTATTGTTTCTGATTTTTGAGAATTTATCGAACATGTTGTTCTTGGAAATAGATTTTTTTTTGATACACTTCCCAACATGAAATTGGGATGTCACGAATATGGTTGCTTTTGCATATCTATTATCTCAAATCGTCAAGGGATTTTTCTAATACAAATTAGAAAAAAATTGTTACGTTGAACAGTTATTTCTTGTAGGAGTGTTGTACATGAATGCTTATTATATTGTTATTTTTCCATCTCTTCAGAATGTATCAACTGCTACTATCCGCTGTCAGTTTCAGATTGCATGCTTGATTTCCTGATGCCCTTTGGCACATATATAATATTTGTCTTCTTCTCATTCTTATGTTGGCATGGGTTTTTGTGCTCATCTTAATCAGACATGTACCACTCGTTTGCAGCTTTGGATATCAACAATTGCCCTGAAGAGCAGATTCTAGATTGTGAATCAGATGCCGACGACGGATTGGGTGACGCGGACCATGATGAAGAAGAAATTCCAATGATTGAAGATTCCCCGTCAGGTATTTATAAGCAAGTTTCTCTTCATGTAATTAAGACACGAGTTTTGTGCAGCCAAATGTAACTAAGAAACTATTCTGGTTGGCATGGTGTATATCTTATTGCTTTGAATTCTTATGAAGAATGTCGGATAAGTAGTTGTGGCAATAATAGATACAAAACAAGCAAGCTATTCACAGATGAAAAATGTTCTAGTATTTTATTTGTGCTCTTACAGGCGACGAAGCTGCAAATAGTGATGATTCAAATTGGTCTGGAGACGGGTCACGAGTTCAAAGAGTTAAAACTCTACATATTAGCTCTCCCATCTTAGCAGCAAAAAGTCCATTTTTTTATAAGGTACTGTAGCTTTTTTCAATTGCTTAACATGTTTCCCTTTGTAAGATTTTCATGCTCACATTTCTTTTCCTTTCTTCTGCAGTTATTCTCAAATGGTATGATGGAATCAGAGCAGAGACATGTAACCCTGAGAATAAATGCCTCTGGTAGTTCATTAGTTGCATTCCGAACACTTTATTATATATATATATATATATATATATATATATATATATATATATGTGAGACTGCAAATGATTTAAGATGTGCCTTTTGCTATGGAACAGAGGAAGCTGCACTGATGGAGCTTTTGAATTTCATGTATAGCAATACGTTAAGCACGAATACAGCTGCGGGTATATTGGATGTACTTATGGCTGCAGACAAGTTCGAGGTAGCTTCGTGCATGAGACATTGCAGTCGTGTACTGAGAAACATGCCCATGACTCCAGAATCAGCATTACTATATCTCGATCTCCCTTCTAGTGTTTTAATGGCTGATGCTGTTCAACCACTCACCGATGCTGCAAAACAGTTCTTAGCTGCTCGCTATAAAGATATATCAAAGTACGTTCTCCTTACCCCCCATTAAACATTTACTCCTTGTTTGAGAATTAGGATATGATTTGATAGACAATATAATCAAACGTTGTCAATGCTTCATACCGTAATCGACATGGAG